TGTCGGCGGCACGAGGTGTCGGACGAGAGGGAGGACGCGATCCCCTATCTGTACGGACGACACGCGCGACACACACCTACCATTATCTCGCTCTCTTTTCGCGGGCCCGCGTTTCAGCTTGCCGCATAAAAACATTTGTTCGATTCTTTGTACGCGCGTAGTGCCACGCAACACACACATTATTATAAATAAATGTACAGGGGATAAGCCATGAATAAAACATGGCGGCGGCGGCGAATAGACACGTCAAACGGTAAATGACCGTGTGTGCGCGCGTGTGTGTACGGGCTGCACCCTTACCGTACACGCGAACAAATGTGTGTTTTATTGCTCCACGAGAACGGCGGAAAAACAGAAATAATACCTCGGCGTTTTCGATAAATCGCACACTTATAATACTGCAACGGCAGCACCGCCGGCAGCCGGGACGCGGCGGTGATTTGTGTGTCGCCCCGATCAAAAGAGCCGCCCGCACGGAAGACCGAGGCGGCGCCGCCGCCGCCGTCGACAAGCCCGCGCAGTGTTGCCGTTCGACCACGTGTATTATATATTGTTGTGTAAAAATTAGTTTTATTTTTTGGTTTTTTTTTTCTCTCGCCGAATACGTCATCGTATCTTCTTTCGGCCCACGCGAAAAACCGACGGGCCCGTTGCGTATGACCCGTGTTGCCGGTCGCACGTGTCGTTTCTCTCGTTAGGATGATTAGTTAAAATTTCACGGTAGCGCGTGGGTAGAAGACCGCCCAGAAGTTATAATCCGCATAGCGTAGATACAACGATAGGAAAAAAACCGTCTGTCCGGCGAGCCGTGTCGTGGTTTTGTAAAAAAAAAAAAAGCTGAATAATGAGTTAATGAGACAACAGGCTAATGACGACGGGTGCAGCCACTGTTGTAGACGGTAAGACGGGAAACTAGGAACGGAATATAGACGTGAATTCAATAGTCTATAGGCAACGGTTAACCGTTTCTAACGAAAAAACGATTCTGAGCGGAGTTCAGTTGACAGTGTTGCTTTTTCAACAACGTGTATGTTATGATATGGTAAAATAAAAGTATGCATTAAATATTTTCTTTGATAATATTTACTTTATATTGCTGCATTGTACATATTTTCCCGCTCTCCTAAACTTCCCCTGTTTTCTTCCTTTTTTTTTTTTTTTTGAAAACTACTTGGAAAATCAAAAAATTACCTGCGATTTCCATTTGGAAAAAGTACTATCATTCAAAACCGGAGCAAAATGTATAGTAGAAAAGTTGTCTACAGAAAAAAAAATAATAACAATAATAAACTTCATTGTAAAATCAATACGTTCCTCGGTCAACTCAAAAACTAAAAACTAAAAAATGACTGCAGTACTCCGGAAAAGAAAAAAAGAAAATAGTATAGAACACCAACATTGCTGCTATGGGATAATACGGTTTTGTTTCAACCGGGTTTTATTAATTTAGAGGCGAGTAAAATGTTCTCCCTTAGTAACGGTATGCACGGGAAGCCTTTTCGGAGAACACGTCTCGAAATGCTAAAATTTATACGAATAGCGTCAAAATTTAAATTTTAAACGTGTACATAAAAGTGACTACATCACGTGCGATTTTTTTTATTATTATTTACTTCTGCAACTTACGGCGATTCTTCGAGTAAAATTGTCCAACATTTTTACACGGTCAATATAGTTTTGTTCACATAAAGAAAATCAAAATTTAAAAAAAAAAACTAGAAAAATAAAATTACTATAAATAACTTATCAAATTTTCCAAATTGTTTTAAAAATAGTATCGCTTCTGGTAAATGTCATTATTGGTATTTTATGAAAATGTCAGATAATCAGTACGGAATCCCCAAAAAAAAAAATCGAAAACAATGAAACTGTTATTGCTTTAAATCTTCCAAAATTTTTTTTTTCTTTTTTTTTTCCTAATTATTATTATTGCATATACTGTCAGAGGAAATCAAAAAATGGCCACTTTAATGCATCGAACTTGATACAATACTACAGAAAAGCTTTATTATCATTTGTTTATATATCGGGAGCAAAACGTTTGGTAAAAAAAAAAAAAAAAAAGGGTTTTTAACAGCCAGAGAAAATATAACGATCAGAATTTGAAAAACATTCCAAGGGAAGGAAATTGGATTCCCTGTGGGCGGACTAGTGGCAACTCTCGTGTGCGATTGCTGTTGTACGTGATTAGCGAACAATTACGAGATTAAAGAAGTTTTCAATCGCACCGGGAACTGTTTAGTAATAATATTAAACTGCGATTGAAATACAATTTTTTCAATATGTTCTCTCGTATTCAAAATAAACAATCGGATATTGTGTTACAGTTATGGACGCGAGTGTAACGATTAATCTAGTCTCTTTTTTTATTGGTTTTTTTTTTTATTTCCCTCCCCCTCCACATATTAAATACGGTACACAAACAAACAACTGCAGTTTATACGATTGTGTACAATGATAGTTTTTTTTTTTTATCGTGATCCAGCTATTATTTACAAAGTTTGCGATTAAAGTGTATTTTGTTTTTTTTATTTTCAATCATTGTAGAACCGACGGTTTATTGATCATATTTACAATATTTACAAACTGTTACTCTCATCCCGTACACTATAATCCCTTCATTATCAACTTATGATTTTCAAACAACCACCGCCTCGCGTTTTCAATACAAATTCAATAATATTCTAAACGATTTGATACGCGTTGCACTATAATATTGGATTCACCGTTTATGAATTATTTATGAATAATCGCATGCAACTAGAGTTCGGATTTCTGTGCAAAAACATATTTCATACGACCGTATTGCCGTTTGATGGGAGTAAGACATGTGTGCGTCCCACCGTGCCGTAGATTCTATCGAAAAAAAAAAAATCGACCTTGGAGAATATTTCTGAATATTTAAACATATTTCCGCTACATTGATTTATGTTAAAGATTATTCTCTAGTTTTTATTTTAATTTTAATATTTTCAATCGCCGTTACACGGTGATTTCCTGATATCAAACCATAGACACATACACCCACGACCCACCTGCAATATTAAAGATGATAATAGTAAATACGATTTCGGTTACGTCGACGGGCATACTGACGCATACTGATGTCTGTTACCGTTTTAGCTAGGTATCCGTTCATTTTTTTTGAAGGTATTTGCATCAATTTTCGACACGCACAAACGTAATTATAGGTCGATGGTGACACGGCAAAATGATCTAAACGATTCTTTGGGGTCCAAGCGATACGGTTTCGCCATTGGATGGAGAAATACGTGTTTCGTCCACTGCGCTTGCGCAAAAACAGCTGTAACCGTTATTTGACGAATAATTTAAATTGAATTCTCAATTATAGGGTCTAAACGACAATAGAAGAAATGCTTATTAATAATAAGGAAGTACAAACACAAAAACAATTATTCGATGAAAAATATTTCCTGTTTCAACCGAAAAAAAGTTATTTTGAACATAAAAAAAAAAAAATATGTTATAATAACAAATAAACGTTTTTCGTCTCCCCTGTGAAGTATGAATTTTGTCACTTAGAATCTTTTGCCGTATCGCCGTCGATGTTTCAAACGTCTCAACATAATCTTAATCCGGCCTCTGCATAAAACAGCGTGAAATTCATCCCGGAGGGGTTGGGAAAGGCTATAAAACGCGGAACTATTTTCCGACGATAACATTACATCTCTACTGCTCGTAAATAGAAAATCCAATATCGAAATGTTTATTAAAACATTATCGTTCCGAATTTATTTTAAAATTACGAGGAGAGAAGAGCCAAACGGTTGCATGAAATCAAAAGTTAATAACACGCATTTACGATGCACGGACCGAAAGTAAAGTTTTGAAAATATTGCAAATAAAGTTCGTTTTTTAAAATATTTTATGACGATGGAAAAAAAAATTAAGTTATTAAGTTTATTTTGTTTTTTTAAATTATAATTGATCAAGAGCGTATTCAAATTTAGTCTATTAGGCCATTCAAATTCGGTACTTTTCGTAAAAATACATACACAAAACCTTTCGAGGAGGGGGGCGATGATTATTGAAACTCCTTAAAGCAGATTCTTAAAGACACTATAATATAATGACTATACTCAAACCGTTCGTGTACATAATCTCATTCCCCTGACTTTATTCGGGGCTAAGCGAATAAAACCACTTGAAATTTTCACCCGAAATCGTATCTTTTCGATTTGCCTAACAAAACAACAGCTATAATTCCCGAGTTTAAGGTCATTTAGTCCAGAAGCCGCTAAAAGTATAAAAAAAAAAAAAAAAACGGGCAAAATATGTACACCTTTATTGTTCAATACACAATACAGTGCAGTAGGTTCCGGTCGAATAGGTTTGATTTAAAAAAACTGCGCATGGTCAAAAAATATTCTACGACACGGTACGCATCACTTAGAGTGTTTATATTATAATAACAATAATAATTTTATGAACGGTAATGAACTCCAATTTCAATTTTTTTTTTTTTTACAGCAACGGTAGACATTCAAAATTTAAAGATGATGTCCTCAAAGGTTATACATAAATAATACCCGTCCCCGAAGAGTACTACTGCCGCGGCAATTGGAATAACCGTTCGTACTTAAACGAACCGAACGTATTCCATTCGTCCGTGATCGGCGCAAGCAAAAAAAAAAAAAAAAACTGCCCATACATAATAAAACGGTATTATTTGAGGGTTGCCGCATATAAATAGTACCGTAACAATACAAAATCGGTTAAGAATATCAACTTGGGAATTTCAAAAAAAAAAAAAAATAATAATAATAATAAAAACCCTCGCACATGTGACTACCCGCACGATCGAGTTGGAAACAACAATTTATACGTTTCCGATTGTTTATAAACCCCTTTGCAAATAGTTCGTAACAGTTTTAAACATTTTTCGAAAATACTCGCCTAATAAAAATACGCTTAATTTGGTTTCTTCTTCGATTTCCAGACGAGTTTTTTTCTCGTTTTTACGTTTTTTTTTTTTATTAGCGTCCTGTTTTCACAGTGTAAATAGCCCGGTACTAGCAGCCGTCCCCCGAGAAATTTACGACCTTACGAAAATTTACAACCGTCCCGTTTCGTAAGTGTTAAAACGATACGCGGAAAGTAATCGTTTCCATCGACGTGTACCGTCGGCCGCGTGTTTCGATTGATAACGTCGTATCCGCCGGGCGACGATTTCGTGTTTCGATAACGTTCGTCCGAAACGATCGGCGACCGCTATCGTACAAGGTTTAGTAAAAAAAAAAACGAAAAAAAAAAAATCGCGCAGGAACAACCGTTGAACTGTTCTGCGGGACGCGCGCGGCGAACAACAACGCACCGTGCACCGTGTACTGCGCTCCGCCGACTGTTTCCGAAACCCCGAGAACGCCGTGATCGCGCGCCTCCGCGGCCGGAAACGAACGTTAAGGACGCGCGGAAAACACACGCGGGACACACCGAGGTTAGGTTATGTTAAAACGCACGCGCGCGGGTCGAAGTTTTAATAGTGTTTGTATGTAAATACGCCTACGGGGGGGGAGGACGTACCGTCGCGTAATAATATTTTACCGCGGGTTAGGTAAGCATAATCGCGTATTATAAACGTTCCGGGCCGCGCTACCGAAATAATTATGTTTTACCGTGACAACGGTTTTTGTTTTTAGATTCCGCGTCTAACGCGGCGGCGGAGTGACAATATCCGTAACCGTTGAGTTACCGACTGCAGTTTCGCCGGATTCCCGAACGGACGACGGTATGCGGATACGGTTAAAAGATTATCGTTTTGTTTTTTTCGCCGCGTTGTTTTCTTATCGGTTTTCACCAATTTCGAATTTTGACGTAACCCGATTGGAAAAAAATAAAAAAAAAAAAAAATCAGCTTTTCGATTATATTTTCGATTGCTTATTTTCACAGGCGGTTTAAATTTTATCGGCGTATGTAGGCGCAAAGTTTCGAACGCGGTCCGCGTTATAATACACGAATCGAAGATAAATCATGGAAATAGATAAAAAAAAAAAAATAAAAAACGATTCTGAGAGGAGGACTCGGAACCTAATAACCGTGCGAATATATTATTTTTAAACAACGTATTGGCAATCCGGTCCCGTTTCAATACGATTCGACTGAAAATTATTGTCGTATGGCACGAGGGAGAATAATAATCGTGTATCGCGCAGTTTTATATTCTATGTTATTTTATGAGACATATCAAATACGAAAATTATATGATACGCTTGGCGTGAGTTTTTGACTCGGGGCCAGAAGTGAAACAATCCAACGGCGTGTAACAAATAAATACAAATGTAGATGATTTCTTTTCCTTCGCCGCCCGACGTTGTTATTCGACGTACGTTTGCACAGTCTCAATGGCGATACTGGTGTTATTTCCACGCGAAATTATACGAAAACTAAAAAAAAACTTTTTTTAAAAAATACCCTTTTTCGTTATTGTTGTTTTCTTTTTCCGATTGTGAAAGTTTTGCTCTACCGCCGGCCACGGCGTTAATAATAATTAGGACGCGTCGCGCCGGGTCCCTTTGAATGTTTATAGCGAAAAAATCGAATAAAAAAAAAAATAACACGCTAATCAAAACTCACGGAATACCTAATGAAATAATATCAACGCGATCGGTACAATTTTCGCGCGGCGATTCGTAATTTAAAATCGCTCGATCGTATTCGCCAACGGATTACCGCGTGGTGTTCAATCCGGTAAAATTATCCGAACGACTAGATAGGTATATTTTCAATTTTTATCGTACGTCCAGATTGGTTCATACCGTTTTAACCTATTTCTGTTTCGAACAATTATTCGACTTCGCATACTTCTTTTTTTGTACGAAACGCGGGGAAAATGTTCGATTTTTTTTTTTAAATATGAGTGAAAAAGTCTCGTCATTTGAGTGGTCGAAATAAAAATAATAATATTTTCGAATTGTTCGAAATCGAAGAAAATTTACAAAACCGCTTCCGACAGTCTTAAATTCTTTCGCTCAAATTATTCACTAGTCTCTGCATAACTGTATACTACTATACTATATATGCATAAGTGCGCTGCGGTGAATTCCAAGGGCACCCGGTGGTGAAAATCCAGAGGGCGGGGAGAAACCCTTAATTTTTATTAATGACCGAACATTTTTATTATATGTATTGTGTGTATTTGCAAAAACCGTTTAAAGGTATTTTAATGCGATAATATAAAATTGTGCGCTTATAATGACTAATCGAACACGAATTGAAATTTTCCTTTCTTTCCCCAAATTCTTCAACAACGTTGTCCCGGTATTTTGAGATATCGAATGTGAACACAATTATTTTAATTCGCTGGAAAGCTAAGTGAAGTCGTCGACCCCCTGCTGCTCGGGTGACCGTTCTCGGTGGATTCGACTAGTTCTTTTAAATTTCATCGCGTTCGTAATTCGAACGTGCGCACAATTACTCGAACACCGCGAACCACTGCTAGACCAACCCATGTATATAATAATATGTCACGTTGGGTATGTCCGCGGATCAAGTCCATCGTAACGTTCGCCTCTCGGAGTCGTCGTCGGTAACCGGCCAAACTCCATTGACCCGCGATTGTTTTGCGACGGGTCTACTGCCGGACGACCGACCAGATGTTACTCGCGTACTCACATAACGCCGCCGCGCCGATAATCGCCCGTGAAAAATCCGTGCAATTAACGGCGGCGTCGACAAGCCGACATACCGCCAAAACCTTTCTTATTCGTTTTTCATTCCCCGGCCCCGACGGCCTTGTTTACTCTGGAACACGCATAGGCCACGTGGTACCTAGCCTTTGTAATCGGTAATGTAATACAGTGTAAAGGTACAAAGGTACACATCTCGGCGTATGCTTTTAAACATCAGGTCCGGTCATATATTTCGATTGTTCCCTCGCGAAAAACCGACAGTTAGAGTTCACTTGCGGGCGAGTACACACACACACACACACAGTCGTTTACCGAACGTAAAACGGAACTATACCTCGTGATAACAGATACCAGTTAAAATAGATAACACGATTTTGTCACGCTTTACACATAGTTTATACACCGGATGTCGATTTTGAATATTCAATCACAAGTAATGAACCGTATTTCATGGTAGGGGGTAATTTATGGTCGTACGTGACGGTAGACGCTAATTTCTTAATGGTAAGGTATACGTATTATAAGGACTAACCAGTAGGTCAATCCGGAATTGGTTACCGGTATAAACCTGCTAGGCCGTTGAAATCGTATCGCTAAAGGGTTTATATTTTCCGCTATAGCATATAGGCTATCATTTTTCCCACGTCGTATTATATTTTAATACGGCCTTCATAGCGAATAACACAGTCGCGGTTTTTCAACGGCAGGCATCTCTCTTTTTTTTCTTTTTTTTTAATTACTTGCAGCTTACATTCAGTGATGATGATACGCCTTGACATGACGTGAACACCGAGTTTTTCAGATTGAGGGAGAAATTCGTTCGTTATAAATGATTAATATAAAAGGTTTTATTTTAATAGCATGTAAAGGGATTTTAAACTATAATTTGTTATAGCGTAAATTTAAGATTAAAAAAAATATTCGTTAAACGGCATTCGTTATAAATATTTATGAACTGCCGTGTTTTTTGACATTTCAGATGTAGTCACAGCTCGGGAAACGTTTGATCAACAGCGTTGAAACGTAGCAGATTAATAAAATGTATCTAGATAACGACGAAAAATATTTAAATTTACTCGGATAAGATAATAAATAATTTGGAAATTTATCGGGTTAAAAATGATTATACTCGTAGACGAAAACTAAACATGTCAAATGTTAAACTGTTCTCTACGCCAATAGTATAAACGGTTAGCTATTAGTAACAATTATATATGTATGAACTTTTTATTAAAACGGAAACTTATATAGTTATTTTGTTTTTCGGCGGTATATTTCTATTAAAGGTTGGGCATTAACGAGTTTATAAGTTAAAACGAAGTCAATTTAACTTTTAAACTTCATAAATAAATTTTTTTGAACTATTAACTTAAGGAATACAAAAGAATTAACTTTTAATTTACTTAAGCGTATTTTATATTTAAACGGGTTGAGTAGATTTAAATTTTTATTTGTATGATCATAAAAATTTAAATACAATATAGACCTTTATAGTAGTTAACGAACAATATTTTCATAATTTTTTTAACTATCTTCAATTAAGTTGAAAATTTAATATCAATATTCGGTTAACTTCAAACTTAGTTGAATCGATAGATTACTTTTGATAAATTTTATTTAAATGTAAATTTAACTTGAATTTACCGGGTTGAAAAAAAATCATTGACTTGCCTAGCCCTGTGTCTATTCGAATGTTAAGTAAATATTAACAGGTAAATCGTCCATCGCTGTCCGGACCGCAGTAATCGTGTAACTGATTTCGCGGCATTTCGGTAAGCCGCGAACGGTGTCTGGCCGAAAATATCGAAACCGTCATTCGTACGGCCGCGATACCGAACCAGTGAATACCGAGAAGGAACAAGACGATAATAAAAAAAAAAAAGGGGGAAGGTCGAAAATAGGATCGTATGATAATTGTGTAAATCAAAATACTAGGGAAAACTATGGCGTGAACGTGATAATGGCTCGAAACACGAAACTCGATTAATGTCGACGGTCCGTCGGCTGTCCGAAAACGAGAAATTCGACATTCGCGGCGTAGACAATTTTAATAAATAATTCGACTAGCGAACGACGGACGGAATCGTCCGCGCTACCGGACCGGAGACGCGTGACGCTGACGGACGTTACGCTCTAAGGGGCGGCAGGCGATTGCGGATGCGTTTCGGTTTCGAACGGCTGCGTGCGCGCGTTCCATTGCGAACGAAACTGATTCCGCCTCGTTGAAATTCGCAAACATTGTTGCGTCCGAGACGGCTGTCTGTTGACCGTATCCGCCGTGGGCGTTACAACACATTATCGTCGCACCTCGCGGCCTACAGAGCGTCGCGCGCCGCGGCGGCGGCGGTTTCCCCGGCGGCCAGAAAAACAACGGAACGGGATCGCGCGGCGCTCGGGACGGGCAATTTCGCTACGCCGCGGCGCCGGGGACCCTATCGCCGTCGTCTTCCGGGGACCGTATCGGATATAACGTCGTTCGCGTTATTATTACGCCTTGTATCGCCTCCGTAACGTCGTATTGTTATTATTATTATTATGTACGAGTAATATCGCGACATTA